TGTACATTTTTTTTCACAGTTTGCCACCCATTATATTCTTACCTCCCCATCCCTAGATTTGGTTACGCTAAATCTATCTATACACTTAGTATATTCTATGGTTACTACCACCGTTGGTAGTCGGCTGTAATCTTATGTTCCCCTTGCCTGCTTTAAACCGTATGTGACTATGATGACTAAAACAAAATGACGCTACACTGTTTAAAATCTCTGGCAATGGTAACATCAACTTAAGGCCAATTTTATACTTTCTGTGACAGATGTTGATCAATTGTTTCTGCCGTATGACACATTTGTGTGGTGGTATGCACGGCGATACGGCCCTCAGGCAAAGGTTCGCCAGGACTGGACCGACCTGACCCATGAGGACCTATGGTAGCCTGTACGGCTTGAGGAGGCGGCTGGAAAGAGTAGAAATCTGCCAAAATAGAGAGATAAGCATGCCAAGGGAGTTTGGCCGTTGAGAGAACAGTTCGCCGCCCCACAAGCCTGTCGGGAGTCGCCATTTCTTTGAAGTCCACTAATCGCTATCTAATAGGTGCCAAGTGGGGCGGCGAACTGTTCTCTCAAGGGCCAAACTCCCTTGGCATGCTTATCTCTCTATTTTGGCCGATTTCTACTCTTTCCAGCCGCCTCCTCAAGCCTGGTAGAGGCTAGACCTATGGCACCTGGTCAGATATCTGTTGTGGGCGTTTCTGTACAGAGCGCGCACATGTCACAGCTGACTCGTAGTTGTAGAACAGGTTGATTCGCTTGGTCCTGGCGCTCTTTTTCATTAGTACGTTTGCAGTACGTTAACACAAAGGCACTTCAACCTCTTTTCAGTAGGTGTCGCTTGTTGTGTTACTTCGTTTTGTTGTCTAATTGGCATAGCCTCCTTCAAGACTTTGTATTAAGTAAGTAGCACGTGAACTACACCAACAGAAGATAGACAAATGTACAAACAAACAGAAGAGACAAAACGTACCAGCTATACAAAATGTTATACATTCACACCTGGCAAAAAGTCTCTGCATCAGCCACCAATATTTCACTTCTATATATTCTATTGCACATTATATCTGTAGCTTACTACTGTTGCACTACTACTATACTATTGAAAACATATGAAATTTATCGGCCTGAAAACAGCAGGTGGGGATTCACACACAGAGAGCACAGTGCCCTAGTCTGTGCTTGAACTATTTTCCCACTTCACTGTCTTTCTTACGTACGCTGCATAATGCTATGAGCTTTCTAATATTATCACTGTTAACCCATATCTGTTTTTACCACTGTAGCGACTATGTAAGTTTAAGTATGTTCATATTTGGCTATTTTTCTATCTATGGCTGCCTGAACGTTTTGTTCGAAAAGGGTAAGCTGCAGTTTGTTCTAACATCGCTAAGGGGAAACCTGGTGCCGCTGAGATATGCATATGAGACGGGAATTCTTCTTACCTTTTATCAGGGACACGTAGTGTATATTATTACTATTATCGGAGCCCTAATTCCTCATTATGCAAGTATCTCAAACAGTTCCTGTGCCTCCTTTTCTGCAGCAGAGCCTGCATCCTTTTGGTGAAGTAGGTCTTTCAGTTGCTCTGCAAGTTTACGTTCTTCTTTCTTGGCTGGGTCTGATGTTTGTCCCCCATGCTCCCTGAGATGGATCTTCTTCTCCTTCCAAGTTTGGCCAAACGTCAGAAACTCGCGAGTTTCCTTTGCAACCTTTTCTTCATGAGGTGACATCATTCCTTTCTTGTAGAACTGCTTCTCGAACTCAAGGGTATCCAGGAGATCGTCGATGAAGGCGAGTCGCTTCTCCTCCGTTTTGCCGTCTTCCTCGGAACCGTGTTTCTCTTTCCTAGTTTGCAGACCTTTCTTCTTCGCCTCCCAGGACTTCCCAAACTCGATATATCCACGTACTGCGTCTGCTGCTTCGCTCTCATGTCGAGACAGGTGTCCATTTCTGTAAAACTGATTCTCAAAGTCGATTGCTTTCTGTAGGTCAGACAAAAAGCTATCCCTTCGTTCTGACTCACCACTTCCTTCTTCTTCTTCTTGTTCCACACTTTTTTTCTCCGCTCCTTCACCACTTCCTTCTTCGCCTTCTTCCTCACCGTCTTCCTCCTCACCTTCCTCACCGTCTTCCTCCTCACCTTCTTCACCGTCTTCTTCCTCACCTTCCTCACCGTCTTCTTCACCGTCTTCTTCCTCACCTTCTTCATCGTCTTCTTCTTCACCGTCTTCTTCCTCACCGTCTTCTTCCTCACCTTCTTCACCGTCTTCTTCTTCACCGTCTTCTTCCTCACCGTCTTCTTCCTCACCTTCTTCACCGTCTTCTTCCTCACCTTCCTCACCACCTTCTTCGCCGTCTTCTTCCTCACCTTCTTCACCGTCTACTTCCTCACCTTCTTCACCGTCATCTCTCAGGTAAGGATGCCCCGCCACAGTCCACGTGCTGAGGATCAGTAGCAGGCACAGCACATGGAGCCACTTCATTCTGACAGCTCGGTGTTCAAGGATCTGGAAAAAGAAAAAGAACAAATAAGATTGAGCAAAAGTTCGGACAGATTCACAGTACATTCCGGCTAAAGGAAGGACAGGAAAGCTAACTTTACGAGGATTTTTTCAGTCGCAAAATGCTAAGGGCTCATGGCAAACCAATACTTGAGACTAGCTGCAGTGTAACATCATGTCAGGTCCGCCAGCTCCACTGGAGCGGAAAGTGCCTGGTAGTGGATGTGTACACAGTTTTGATTTGTCAAGTGAGGCGGCAAAATTGGGAACAATGTCTTCGGAACGCTGGTATGACTCTTGCTGTGACATTGAGCCTCAGGGGAAGTCAGCATGGCCCAGCGGGAAAAATATCGCCCAGACAAGTCTGTGAGCTCTAAAACGACATTTTTTGCAGCAACTACTGCACGATCTTTATCTAGACATCAACTGATGTTCACAATGTAACAGGGTAGATTGCAATGCGAAAAATATGCTCGACGCTCTGACAATTTTGAAACTCGGCGACTTTCTGGCGACCCACAAAAGGCGGCCGGATGAAAATTGGTTTTCAGATGTTGGGAGGCAGTTTGTGACAGAAACGGGCAACTAGGAAACGTAGCGATGTTGCCCCGCAACATCTGCTTGCAGATTGTAATTGTTCATTAGAATATTATTCACACGTATAGCTGTTATGAGCAACGATAAGGTCATTGAGAATTTAGTGATACTAGTAACCTGTTGAATGTTACAGCTTTGGATAAGATCACCTACCGACGTACCTAATATAATCACAAATCACCTTTTTCATCTTTGAGTTATGCTTATCAAAGAACAAGAGACAGACGGACAGACAGACAGAAAACCTGCTTCACGGGGATAATGAAAAAGGGGGCGTGTAGGTGAAAATGGCGGTGGCATATACATGACGTGTTCTGGTCTCTTAATTTGGACTGAACAAATGGATTTCAACGTTTAGTTGTTTAGACATATGGGTTCTCTGTGATAGATATTTGGAAGAATGTCATTGAGGTACAAATGCTTATATCGAAGAACCAGAGAAACAGAGAGAGACAGAGACAGACAAACAGACAGACAAAACTTGGGGCTTGTAGGTGAAAATGGCGGTCGCGCGATCGCTGATGAATGTTTTCCATGCCAAGTAAAACATAGTATTACATTTTGTAAGTATCTCCCTGTCACCAATTGAGCATAAATACAAAACATGACTATAAGTAAAGCTTCATATGAGTTCGATATAAAGGTCTTACACATTTATAAATGCGAATGGTACAAGTTATAGCATGGACATGTACAATGGCATACATTCTTATCTTATCATGCATTCACATACATTCACACCTGGCAAAAAGTGATAGTTTTCACTTTAGCCCTATTCGTCGGGCAATACCGAGAAAGTACAGTACTTAACGTAACGGCCCCGCCAAATTCGTCGTTTGATCATATGTTACCACAACAAGTTTAAGACATTGTTGAGACAGTCGTGGATGCAGGTATGACCATTGTAGATCCTTTTCAACGACGAAAATCGTTTAATGACAAAGATCGTTACGATCGACAAGTGTGACTGCGCCTTAACCATGGAAAAAGTCTTAGAATTACCTTCAGAAATAAAGACGTCGCTGGAGAGACAAGAAGGTCTTCCTTTCACATTCAGCCACCAGACGGAAAAGGAGACACGCGTACGTGGCGTGAATACCTTGATAGAGAACGTAGGGGTGGGAGGAACCGTCCATGTATGGGAAGAGGTGAGGGCTCGGTATATTAAACCAAATATTTCAGAAAGTAAAAAAGGGAGAAAAAAAGTATGGACAGTCACATATGCAGGCATGCGTCCACAACGGATCCGGAGTGTTGATGTTGAACTTTTTTTTATAAAATAGATTTTCACATAGTTTGTCTACCATTATATATCAACCTTCTACCACCCGTACCCCCACACAGATATGGTTACGTCCATTCACTTGTGTGTGTGATCTGATAAGTTTGCTACCACGGTTGATAGTCGGCTGTTATCGTAATAATCCACAGCAAATTGTAGAGGATGGTGTCTAAAAACCCAAATATATGACGTTTACACTGTTTAAAATACCCGACAAGCTCAATTTCATACTTTTTGTAACGGATGTTGATCCTATGTTTCTGCCGTGTGACACCTTTGACTTTGTATTGAAGTATGCACTAATTGACTCGAGGACCCTCCGGGCAAAGGCGTCACCAGGCCCGTCTCATGATATGAGTACCCGTGGTACGTGTTCCAATGTCCATTGTTTGGGGGAGGGCGTTTCTGTAGAGAGCGAGCACAAGTGACAACTTATTTATTGTAACAGAAAACTACGGTTAATTTGCTTTAAAGGTATTTGTCCTGGCGTTCTTTTTCATACGTGCGGTTTAATTCAGGTAGTAAGCACAAGGCACCTCAACCTCCTTCCGATAGGCGTCGCTTTTTGTGCCACTGTTTACTTTGTTGTCTCAAAAATGTAACTTTTTTTACATGTAATTTGACATAGCTACCTTCAAGACTTCGTGTGTACCACGCATGAATTACAAGAAGCAAAAGAGAGGAACATCATACTAGTTGCGATGTGCATAATTCCCCTGTGGTAGTGATCATTTATAGCAACGAGTTTGTGCAAATCTAGTTCACCATTTTCAAAACCAAGTTCTGTCACAACCGCAACCCGATTGCTACTGTTGTATCCATCCGCGTTAATGGCAGGAATGATGCCAGATCACAACAAAAAGTAAATCAACGCACCCAATTCTTAAGACCCGACTCAAATTATCTAACCTTATTGTCTTAGATATGTTGAAAACTCAACATCAGAAGGGAGAATATGTCTTTAAACATTTATAGTACAACACTATTCTTGACAGATGTTCCCATTTTGAGAACGCAAACCACAGGTTCATTCCTCCCATGCGTTCGAACGCCATGTTTACAGTAAGGTTGCCATGGACATACGTTCGAATTCTACACATTCGACAAGTTTCGTGCTCACGAACCAGGTGGGAAAGTTTTCACTCTCCTGTTTTAGGTGAAAAATCCGTCGAAAACTCGTAGAAAAAGTCGCAAATCTCAGTCATAACTTACGTGTGAGTGCTACTTACATGTCGTTACGGCTGATAGACCGTCCAAAAGTGTTAATAGCTGGCGAAATGAAGTACAAAAACTTCGCAGTGTTCTAAACAATCCGGTTATCACAAGGTCACATAATACCTCAAGGTCATTGCCGTTTCTAAGGCCATTTTACACTTACGGGAAGAGAGTAAAGTCGTCTGAGTATTTCTGAGATGTTGTAGACAGTTTGTAGTGTATGTTGACGTCTTGCCGCCAGTGGAAACCAGCAAATCATTTACTTTTCTGTGGATTTATTTGATGACCTCTGTGTAACATTAGGTGTTCTGCATGAGAGCGAGTGTACTTCGTCTTACCGAAGAAAACTCCTACGACACTATGTCATTGTCTACCCTGCGCAAGATGACGACCGTGAACGATTTGGGTCAGGTGGAGGTGAGTTTTGATTTCTTTTAAAGGGCCTAGCGCCTAACGTTACATGAAGTAGAGATTTTTCAACCTTGTCCACTGAACAACATTTGTGTTCAACTTGTCGGAAAACTTATTTTCAATTTCAAATCAACCTTCATGCCGAGGTGGTAAATAAATTCAATATGATTCCCTAACTAGACCAGGGAAGGTTATTCTGTCATCTTTCCATAGACGTCTCAACATGTTAAATGAATGTGGATTTCATTTTGTTTTGTTGTTCTTATAAGTTATATCAGTACTTTTTTAATGTCCCTTTCCTGCTCACTGCAGACTCAGGAAGACGGTGACTTGAGAACCCTGAGAAAACTGACCCATGAGAGTGAGGAGGGGAAGATGAAGGTAAGTTATCATTTCTACAACATATATGGCCATTTAGAAGTCATATATCATACCAGTTATTATCAAGCTAGTCTGCATAGTCTCTCTTCTTCACCAATCTGAAAGTTTGAAATCTTTTCCTAAAAACTTCAGTTAATAGAATTCTGTTACACAGGCGGCCTGGCTGCCGCAATTTATTCTCCTTTGAATTTGCTTGTTTTGCTCATTTTATGGAACTATCCAATTCATATGTTTACCCCTTGTTTATCTTGTTCTTCTCTGTTTTTCTTTTTTTTGTTGTTCTTATTGCATTATGTTTCTTCTCCTACATAGCCCAAGCAAGAGGGTGATGCGGCCAGCTCGTTTAGCGAGTAAGAACTGTTTAGTTAGGTTTAGCTAACAATGTTCGGAACAGTTAGAACATGAGAGGGGGGATCCTCTTTTACCAATGTCACCTTTGTGATATCTGACTTGAGTGACATGTAACAAGATGGAAATCAGTTGTCTATGGTGGGAACACCTGTATTGTATGTGGGAATTATTAAGATGACTGTTGACGTAGGGTACAAAGTAGATTGCTGCATTCTTCTGCATAGTTCAAACATTACCTGTCTATCTGTTTAGTTGTGTTGTTGCTAAAAGCCACTTTGTATATGTTTCCTCTACAGATCAGCTAATGTGAGCAAACTGGTGCGTGGTTATGAGGCATGGCTGTCCAGTCAGTCACATGGTGTCAGCAGTGGGATCCCCACACATGCAATACCAGAGACTGACAGGGCTCTGTACAGGTACTTACAGCATCATTTTCAGTGTTTATTCATTCTTGTAATCTGAATGATTATAAATACCAAACAAGAATTCTGAGATTTCATACCTCCATAGAATATGGGCTTGATATGTAAATGTAAATTTCTTCTTTAATTATGAAAATGACCTCTGCATTAACATGATATATGCATCGTGATGTATGTGAACTTTTGATTAACTTACAGATGTCCCAAGTATGACATTCCCATCATTCACCATTAAGAAATCATAGAATTTTCGCATTAATTATGCAAATTAGGTCATCATTTGCATAATTAGTATCTGTTGATGTTCCGCCTGCCATAGGTTACATACATTACATGTATGAAA